TCAGGTCTTCACTCTTTCAAGTGAGACACCATTTTTCCTTCTGACTGTTCCTCATTCTAAAGTAACTTTGTCTAGGGGATGAGCTCCAGTTAGTTTTCCAATTTAGGATTTCCTAAGAATGGTACTGTAAGCTGAACGGGACATTCTGTATGTAATCTAAATGGTCCACAATATCATCAAACTTGTTCTGGGTGCCATTTTTCCATTATTCCAACTCAGGATTGTGTTACCTTTTTTGGCAGGCACATTATGCTTATTGAGGATATTTGTTTTTTTAATCGTCTTTTTGTAAATATTTGTGAAATTAACTTTTCCATTTAAAAAAAAGTTATGTATCTTTTTCTGAGTATGTATGCCACAGATCACCTACTGTGGGGGTTTTTGAATATGTCCACAAACTGATACTCTTTCCTTGGAGAGATGGACCTTAATTCTCCCCTTGAGTGTGGGCTGGGCTTAGTAACTTGCTTGTAGTGAATAGAATGTAGCAGGAGTAACAATGTGACTTTCTAGGGTAGGTCCTAAGAGGTATTGTATCTTTCGTCTTGTTCTCTGATCACTTTTGCCTCTGGGGGTGCCAGCTGCCATGTTATGAAGCATCCCAATCTGTGAAGAGTCCCACACAGCAAGGAACTGAGTCCTGCCAACAGCTATGTGAGTGAATCTTTTTGGAAGTGGATCCTTCAGCCCCAGTCAAGTCTTCAGATTACTTTAGCGTCAGTCAACATCCTCACTGAAACCTGATGAGAAACCCTGAGGCAGAACCACCCAGCTAAGCTGTGTTCCAAATTCCTTGCCCACTGAAACTGAAATAATGGATATTTTTGTTTAAGCCACTAATTTTTGGCATAAATTGTTAAACTGCAATAGATAACTGATACTCCCATAATTCCATTATCCAAAGGTAAAACAGTTAATTAACATTTTGTCCTTTTAGATTCTTTTTACAGAGAAAATACACTTACATAAATATATAAGACATATATACTTTTTTAAAACAAAAATTGTGATTATCCTCTGCATGTCACTTGATATACAGTCTTCCTTTCATAGTAATATCATTTTAATGGTAGCAGTATACTGACAAAATAATATACTATCATTTACTAATCCCATCTTTTATTTTGAATATTTAGTTTTCTAATTTCTCCCTATTATAAACAGTGTTAAAATAATGAGTATCCTTGTAGCTACATGTTTGTTCTCTTTAATAGCTAAATTTTGTATCCCTATTTTCTTAGGGTAATCTAAAAATGGAATTTTGATGTGCAAAAATTATGTGTTTTGTTGACACCTATGTTTTACAAAATTTTCCTTCAGAAAAGTTGTACCAATCTCTTCATACTTTCAGCAACACTGGGTATTATTATTTTTCATCCTTGCTAATGGGAGAGGCAAGAAAATTGTGTGTAGTTTTATTTTACATTTCTTTGATTACCAGTGAAAACATCTTTTTGTATTTATCAGCCATTTATTAATATTCTTCAGTGCATTACCTATTCAAACCTCCTGCTTTTTTTTTCTATTGAGTTCTTCAAATTTTTGCAGTAACTTCATAAGAACTTACAAGTATCTTAACTCTTTGTCATATATTGCTGCTATTTTCCCCAGTTTGTCATTTTTATCTTTATATACAATGTATTTTGCCACATAGTACTTATAAGTCTTTATGTAGTCAAATCTGTCTTTTCTTCATAGCTACCGCCTTTGATGTTAAATTTAAAAAGACCTCTAACAGACCAAGATTATAAAAACGTGTGTCTGTGTTTCTTTCTCTTGCTTTTATGGTTTTTACTCTTTATGTTTATTTTAAAAGTTATAGGAGTCTAGGGAGTGTCTTTCGACTTGCTAGATGGGATGCTGTTTGATTCACAATCACTTAATAAAGCCAATTAGATCTTCAAAAAATAAAATAAAAAGTTATAGGAGTCTAATTTTTCCCAAATAGTTATTTATTTGTCCCACTAATAGTCTTGTTTAGTTTATTCCTGAGTGGTTATGTATTTTGTCATTATTGTGACTGGTTTCTGTTTTCTCATCTTTTCACACTGGTTATTGCTGTTTTAATTTTAAAGGAAAGCAACTGATTGTTGTTTTTGTCATATGACTTAATTCTCGTTTATGTTTTTTATTTCACTTGTTTACCTCTTTTGTAATTACTAATCATTTGTAAGAATTTTCCAATATCCATACTTCATTTCTATTTTTTTGTTTTCTTTCATTGGGTAGAAGTTCCAAAACAATATTAAATAATAGCAGTGATGATAGTCACTCTTATCTCGTTCTATCTTTAATGAAATTACCTCTAGAGATATATGTGTTAAGTTCTGTGATTTTTCATTTCAATAAACCATGTGGAGAAGGACCTTTCTGTTACTAGGATATTAATTGTTTTTTATCAGGACCAGATGTTGAATTTTCATCAAAAGCCTTCTTAGCATCTAGTGAGGTAATTGTAAGTTTTTCTTTTTTAATTTCTTAGTCAGATTTGATAAATGGTGCCATCTTCACATTTCTAGAGTGAACCCTTTTAGTCATAGTGTACTGTTCCATTAATTTGCTAACATGTTTGGAATTTTGCATGTATATTTATAAGTTTGATTGGTATTACTATTTGTGTGTACACTTTTAACAGGTTTTACTATCGGGTTTATGAAAATTGAGAAGTTTTGCATTGTTTTTAGCATAGGAATTATCTATTCCTTGCAGGTATGATAGAAATAATTTTTAGAGATATGGATTTAGTACTATTTGGGGGAAATACTTACTGGATAACTACTTCTTTCTCAAATACTCAGGTTTTTTTAACCTTCTTCAGTCAATTTTGATAATTTTGTGTTCTTAGAAAATTGCTTTTATTGAGATTTTCAAATTTAATAGGGTAAAATTAGTACATTTATTTTTTTACACTTTTAACTCTTCTGTATCCAGAATTATTGTATCTTTTCTCTTATGTTGCTTATTTGTGTGAATATTTTGGGAGGGGTAGATTAGATAAATGATTGTTTATTTGTCCTTTAAAGAAACCCAGTTAATGGATTTTATTTTTTAACTCTATGGGGGTGTGCCTTATTTTTGCCTTTTAATTTATCCATGTCTTTCTCAGAATTTCTTTCATTTTTAAAGCTATTTAGTTTGAACGATTAGTTTGTGTATTTTTCTTTTTTCTCTTTTTTATTTTGGCCTTGATAAAAGCAATTGCAACTAGAAATTTTCTTTATGGGATAAGCTTTGGCCCCATCTTCCTGACTGATATTTAAGATTTTAACTCAGATTTCTAAATTGTGTGTAATTATAGTTTTGATTTATTCTTTACCCAATAATTATTTTTAAAAGATTTCACATTTTTTGATTAGATTTTGTGTGTGCATTATTTTGTTATTCTAATTTTACTTTGTTGTGGTCAGACAGTGTGGCTTATATAATTCCTAATTGGGAGAACTTACTGAGATTTTTCTTCATGTCTTATATATGATCAATTTTTATGTATGATCAGTTTTGGTAAATATGCCATGGACTTTTAAGAAGAACATATATTATCTGTAAGGTATGGCGTTTGTGATGTATTTTATAAATTCTAAGATGTCATTGTGAGACATCATGAATTTAATAACATTTCTACAGAATAATCAAAATGTCTTTTAAGTTTAATTTAACAAACATTTTAAGATGTACCCAGTTTCAGATATGTGAAAAAAAAATTATTTAGAGTCTTATCTTCCAAGCTCTCATTTCATGGGTCTACATTTTATATTAAATTCTGAGAGAACTGTGCTAAAGTTTTGTACTTTTGTTGTTTTGTCCAGTTTTCCTTGTATTTTTATTGGCTTTGCTCTGTGTTTATATATTTCAAGCTTTATTATTCCATGTAAAAAGATTCATGACCTCTTTGTGAAGTCTTTATTGGTTTATTGGTATAAAAAAAACCCTCTTGTGACATTTAATGCTTTTTTCTTAATACAGTTTTGTCACATCTGCTTTCTTTTTATTTGTATCTGGTACTTGGTGGATTTTTATGTCCCTTTGTCTTCAATCAATTTATGTCATCTTGCTTTAGGGTTTTCTTGTTTTAGGTGTTTCTTTTATGAACAGGATTTTTAGTTTTTACCCAGTCTTAGAGTTCGCCTTTCCTGGGAATTTTTCTCTTTTATTATGATTATGTTTAATAATCCTACCACCTTATTTTATGTTTCTATCTCCTTTTTTTCTTTTTCGCTGTATTTGAACTTTTCTCCTCTTCATTCATAAGGCAAATGTACTATTTTTATTCTAACCATAAACATTTAAATTTAAAAAATATGTATATTTAAACCTATCAATGATTTTAATGGAGTCTCTATGGGGGAGGGAAACTCCACTGCTTTTTATTACCTTTTTCTCCAGACTCCATCCTCAGGTATATTGAAATTAGCTGAAATTTTAGAACTCCAGAATGTTTTAACATCATGGAATTTCCTTTTAACATTAGAAATTGTGACTAAACCCATTAACCACATTAACAATAGTGACTTTATACCTAACTCTGTTCTGTTGGTTATCATTGACCACTGTTTTTTCGTTACCACATCTTCCCGTTTCTTAATTCTTTATTTTGATTAATGTTTCAGTTGATTGAAATATATTTTAAAGAAATGTTTTTTCAGAAAAGGTAAGTGGGTGGTATAATTTCTCAGTGATTGCTTGTCTAAAAATGTCTTTTGCTCTAGAATATAAAAGGTAGTTTCTGTCATGGAAAACTGTTATATGTTTCTCATCCTTTTTTTATATATATAAATAATTTGTGTTTTCCTCCCCTCATTAGGTTTTTGGTTTATTTTTATGAATTGTTACATTTTGCCAAGATAGGTCCCATTTGTGGGTATGTGTGTGCACTTGCGAGCTGTATGTGTAAATATATACAGAATCTTTTCTGGTACTGAGTGAATTTCTCTGGTAGAAAGTCTTGCATCTCAGAAATTTTCTTTAATTTTTTTCTTTGATTTTAGCTTTTTTTTTTTTTAATCTGACCAGTTACCTCTGGTTATAACTCCTAGTTGTCCATGGTTTTAAACTTTATTTCTGTTCTTAAATACCTAGAGCTACGAAGTGTTTCTATTATACAGTGATTCTCAGTGATGGTGAAATTTGATGTGAGGGAGACATACATCCTATGAAGAGTGGCCTTCCTCTGTCCACCTCTTTTTTTGTTGGGGGCGGCATTTCACCTCTGTATATTGGACTCTTGTCATATGAGAAGGAAAATTGTTTCCTTGGTTAGATAGCTTTGTCTGAGCTGCAGGTGTTGTAAAATTCCAGATTATTTTAGCCCATTCGGAAAATTGTTTGATTCAAAGTTTAATTAACTGCAGTGAGGTGAAGCATAGGTGGCATTACATTTTGATGTGTCTTTCCAGAGTAAAGCAAGAAAAAGCAAAAAAAAAAATTTTTTTTAAATAAAAACCCAACCCTATCACTATGTTACAATGTATATTGGCTCTCCTTCTAACCTGTATGTCTTAATTCATTTCATAATTTTCAGCTTTTTTCCCCCCCTCTTAGTTTAGGGAGAATTTCTTGAGCTGACACTCTTTGTATGATATTTAATAATTTGTTTTACTGCAGTATACAGTCTGCTAGTTAGTTATCTTCACTGGGTGTTTTGTTTGGGCAATTGCATATTTCTCTGAGAATGTTCTTTTCATGTTGCTCCTTTTCTATGACAGCATGTTCTTATCAATGTGGCAGTCTCTTGAATCTCATTGAAATTCTGTTTTTTCCCATTTCTGGCAACAGCTGTCTTCTGAGAGGCTGTGTCCTGAGCACACATATTGGTCTTCTTTTGAATTGCTGAATATTTTTATATCCAATGATTATTCCTCTGTTTGTTAATATGTTTGAAGCGATGTTTGCATCTGTTCTCTGTAGCTGAGATGTGTTTTTCAGAAACTATGTAGGCCCCTGTGCAGTTTTTTGTTCCAGAACAGTCTCTCTTTGGTAACCCAAAGCCTACTGGTAAAATAGCCTCCACCCAGTCAACCTAGTACATTTGTCAGCACAGTGCCCCATTACATTCAGCAGGTTTCTGTGAAGTCTCGGAACTGTGCCACACACCGAGGGCTCCTTACAGCCTCTAGTGACACCATCAGGGACTCCAGTAGATTAGAATTTGTCCCCCTGCTTCTACCTCCAGCTCTTAGCCAGAGGCCATTTGTGAAGCTGGTGTGGGTCTGTGGTTTGGGGGATTGGAAAGAGGGAAATCCTTTTGTAATCCACTCTGTTCTACCTACACTGCTCCTACTGAAGCCTTCCAAAAAGCCGGGACCCTTGTTTGGAATGTAGGGGTAATATTTAGCCAAACTGGACCACTCACGGTTACCTAACCTTTTTCCCCCTCCTATATCTTTGTCTCTGCCTGAAGTACTTTCTTCTTAATCCCCATTTCGATCTGTGAAGATTCCACGTATCATTCCACATAGCTTAATGCTACTTTTTTCCAGAAACGTCCTTAGATTCCTTCTCCCATATGTGAGCACCCCTTCATCACACGTTCTGCCTTATATTCTAGCTCTTTATATCTTTTCTTTTGCATTGTGAACTCCTTGAGTTTGGGAACCAGTATTGCTCGCCTCATATGGAGAAATATTAGAATGAAGAAGTAAGAGGAAGCCAGGTTTGAGTCACCATTCAGTACTTACTCATCATGAGACCTTGGACAAGTAAGTTACTTCACCTTTCTGAGTAGGTTTTCTCAGGAAAATGGGCATAACAATAGTTCCTACCTTATAGGTAGGTACCTACCTGAAGCTGTTCTGAAGATTAAATGAGCTAGCATAGTACAGTGTACATGGAAATAAATCTTAGTTTTGTTCTCTGTACCCCTTGCAGCACCTAGCCCATGTAGCACCTTATCCACACAGGCCTTCAGTTAACGATGACTGGGTGAATGCAGACCCAAAGTGCTTTGCACAAAACTCACTTTTGCACGAGTCAGTGGCAGAGCTCAGAAAAGAATTCGGGGCACCTGAGTGTCCCACACATGCCGAATAAGTGGGTCTTCAGATGCCTTTCATAAAATCTGTAGAATGGAGGGGGAGGGTTTCATTTGTTTAACAAATTGTAGCCCTTCTTTAAGAGAGAGAATTTTTTTTTAGTTGGTCGGATTTTCAAATAATCAGTTGCTTTCTTGTTTGGGTTGAAGTTTTATAAAGAAATACCACAAAAGGAGGCTCAAAAGGGAGGCAACATAGTATTACAATGGAAATTTTTGTTTCCAAGTAGAGTTTTAGAGGGTTCTTGATTGTTAACTCCCCCTCAGACAGACTCCACCATCCCATCAATCAGTAATGTGCTAATTCTATATGTGCTGCTTCCTCTGCTCTTCTCTGGTATGTTGAAGGTGGCATGTCATCTCCCTCTATCAGATTCTTGTCTAACAAGGTAGGAAAACTTCTTCCTTGAGTTGTAGCTTTGACTAAGCTGGAAGATGTGATTGTGTCTTTTTAGTAGGAGGAAACTTTTGTAATTGCTTCTCTCATTGATTAGTAAACCTGCAGGGGGAAAGGGAAGGTAAACACCATGAAGTAAACATGCCTTCTAGGAAATTCTCTTTTGTAATTTCCCTGTAGGCCTGTGGTACCCAAAATCTTGGAAACTTGCTGGATTTGATGTACCGGGAGCCAGCGCGATGGTCCTTCACATTCCAGACATTTTCTTTTTTGAGCCGTCTGAAAGTACAGCTGGAGCCATTCCCTAAGAAACTCTTACAGGCCAAGAAAGCAGTACAGATCTTTGAGAGGTCTGTGTACAGTGACAGGTAAGAGCCCTAGCCCTCCACCAGTCACAAGGCCCCTGTTCAGCGCTGCATGTGTTCTCTTCTTGCTCAGACTCTGCACCACTCTGGTCACTAACAAAAGTACTTTAAAATTTTGTCTTCTTTTTAAAGACAGCACTATACAGATTTGTTCAGATTCATAATTCCACAGGTTTGTCATATGTGTATTTTTCATAAACTAAATGCACTTAATTTCCCACATTGCCATTGATTATATTTTCCAATTTTCTGGCACAGAGGCCAGCTGGTAGCTACCTAATATAAACATTACATACTAAAAGGCACTGAGTAGACACTTAAGAAGCAGCGTATGTTCTAGGAAACCAAATGAATTAGTGGTTGGTTGTCACTGTGAAGAAGAGAGCAGACAGAATTAAACCTTGTAGTTCTAAAATGATACAAGAAATATAGTCATTCTTTTTTTATTCTTCAAGAAAGGATTTCTAAGTAGAAATAACAGATCTGTGAAATTGGCTTATGTGACAGGGCTTATTGCTGGCCAGAGTCTATAATAGACATCCACTGTCTGTGTCAGGTTAGGGGAAGAGCAGTGTCCTAACCACCTGAGGGAGTGAGATGTGGAGTCACTTTTAATGAAGGCCAGCAGTTAGCTTGGGAAATCAGTCCATCTATTCCAGAGGAGCTAGTCTGTCTAGGTTCCAGAATTCCTGGCTGTGCTACCAGACCAGGCTGTGACTTAAGCCATTTGGAGACAAAGTGGGGGTGCCTTGATCTGGACACTGGTAAAGTTTTTTTTTTTTATCTGAAGGCTACGAACGACCTGTGTCAGTGTGAAATGGTGGTTTAAAGGGTGATAGTCTATCTTAAGCCCCTTTGACTTATCAAAATGGAAAATGCCACATTTTCATTGTCCATTCACTTCTGAAGAAACTAGTTGGTTACCCATTTAATTCTAAGTTAGATAAACTAGTTATACTTCTTAGCACTACTGTAAACAGGAGCCTCCTGGGGGAAAAAATAAGGGTACATTTGTAATTGTGATGTGATTTGTTTTAATATTACCTAAAATCATTCAAGATATTGTAAAACAAACCCTATGGGCTATGCATTCCTTCTCTATGTACCCCAAGAGAGAAGCTACATGTTAGAAAAGCTAAATTTGTGAATTACAAATGTTTGTGCTCTAGATTTTGGTTTTTTCGCCTGTTGGTTATACTACCTATTTTCCTCTCTCCTCTCTCAAGCCATGCCTGCTGGACTATGAAGATTACTTATAATGAGCTGAGTTACTTATAAACATACTCACCATCAGGTTTTTCACTTTCAGCTCTTTAGTGAGGTAGGCATATGAGAGATCCCTCAGAAATATAAATACTTTCTTTAGAAGCTATAAGGTCTTAATATTTACTTGTAAAGGAAGGGATGAGAATTGATTGCACAATAGGCAGCTGCAACATCCTAGATTTTTTCTTCAGAGGGGGCATTTTTGAGACAAAGGATAACTAATTACACATTCTAATCCTGGTGGTGATTTAGAGCCTTTCCATTCTTAAAAATTCACACATTTACTCAGCACAGGCCTGGGAGCTACAGCAGAAAGCAAAACAGACCCAGTCCCTGCCTTCATAGCGACCCTAGTCTAATGGGGAACTCGGAGACTGCACATGTGCTCACATGTTATGTGTGTTTCAAAGGACGAACATGGTTGTTTGGGAGAGTGGATGATAGGGAAGAAGAAGTCTAAATCTTTTCTGTTTGAGTTAAAAGAAATGGTAGCATGTGGTTTTAGGACAGGGACCCTGCCATCTAGGTTTTTACTTTGGTCTTCTCCACAGCCCCTGCGTTCAGACTGCAGGAGTTTCCTCTCCGTAGCATTCAGCACCACACCCTTCTACTCCCGCTCTCCATCACCACCAGCTTTGGAGAAATAAAGAAGTGCTCATCCTTAGAAATGGCAAGGGCCCTTTTTATAGGGCTTATTAACAGATATTTAATTTCTCTTTATAAGATCTTAATTTCCACATTACCTATGAAGAAGCTGAAAACCTTTTTTTGGAAATTAAGTTACAAAAGTCACCTCTTTTCTTTGTTGCCTTTAGCTAGGCTATAGCTAAACCATTCCAGACCAGGACAGTTGACTTCTGGAGCTCCCAAATTAATTTCTTGATAGCCTAGCCAAGAAGCACTTATAATGCTGACTAGGACGTCTTGAATACTATGTGTCATTCACTCCTCCAAGCACCTTGTGAGTATTATGTACAATCTTCACAACAACTCTGTGAGTTAGGTTCTACTGTTCTGTCTACAGAGAAAGAAATAGGCTGAGAGAATTAAATGATGTGCCCATGGTGGCACCGATGGAGAATTTTGGAGCCAGGATCAGACACAAGAATGTGACTCTGCAAGCCATTCTCTTAATCCCAACACACAACCTTTCAATGTATACTTCCCCGAGCCATTCATACATAGGGATTCTGAATTTCATTTTCTCAAAAGTGGCCAGTAGCTGAGCGTTGCCTTAGAAACTGGAGTTCATTGTTTAGGATGTAAATTGTGTTTGTATCAAGATGCCTGAGGCTTGAAAGCAGAATTGACCATTCAGAAGCTTCAATTTCTGGTTAGCTCTGACTTCCTCTACCAGATAGATGCTCCTTTGGTTGCAGAAGTAAGCAAGGGGCAAAGCTAGTTGATTTTTAGATTTAGCTTTTTATATCTGGATTTAAGGCTCGGCAGTAGATTAAGCAAGTAAGAGCCATGTATGCTTTGGAGAAAAGTCTGCTTTCTTGGTAATCCCGAAGTTAGTAGGAAATGCACTTCCTGCTCCGTAGGTGACGCCACTGAAACACAGCTTTTCTACACTCCTAAACAAAACAAAAGGGCGGCTCAGCAGCCTGGAGACTCAGAAGCCCTCAGTTCTTAAATGAAATGCGCTGGGTGCTTTATACTAGATAAGTTTTTGTTTGGGGGCCTGCTGCAGTAATAATAAGGAAACCTCAGAAGATTGGGTGTACGTGCACCATTTGCTGTGTCCTAACAGGTTTCCAGTGGGGAAAATTGTTTATGGCCAATTAGAGGCACACTCTTCCAATGCCCCTTTGTGCTCCCGGTGGGTTAATCTACCTGGAGAGCTATGATTTTAGCTTCTATAGATGCTGTTTCCCATTTTAATGTTGAGCAAGGAGGGAGATAACAGGTTAAATATTCAGATTTCTTAAAGGGTTAAGTGGTTTTAACAGACATGGATCAAGTTGGTTATTAATTTTTCTGCTTCTCTCTTTTTTGCCTTTCATTCTGTTTCCCATTCTTCTCCCCTTCCCCCATCCCACCTACGTTTCCAACTAGGTATATCTTTGCAAAGAATCTTTTTGAAAATGGTTCCCTCGGTGACATGGAGTGGCATATCTATCAGGACTGGCATTCTTTTCTCCTGCAAGAGTTTGCCAGCCGGGTCCAGTTTCATGGCTTCATCTATCTCCAGGCTACTCCCCAGGTAATGCAGAACCTAAAGCCTTAGACTTCAGGGCCACGTGAAACTTAAGAGGAGATGTTCCCCAAGCCCCTGATTTTCTGGTTGGAGAAACTAGACGGAGGGTATTATCTGGAGCACAGAGAGCAGTGAGTAAGCACCCTCCCATTCTAGCACCCAGCACCCTGTTTTCCACAGACTTTCTGCTGCAGAAGACTAAAGCAGTTGACTGTGCATAGAAAGCGTCCCTCTTGACGTAGCAACAACATAGAGCAAATTGGGCATTATCTTTATCACCTAGGGTTTGCAGGTTGGACCCTTTGACCAGGTAACCTATACTAGTTGCCTCAGGTTTCCCTTCCCTCTGACTGGATCATCAGAGTCTGTGGTGGTCTTGATAGTTTCCTAAATAGGATGTGGGGAGGGAGAGAAGGAGGGTTTCCTCACTTCATCCTGATATCGCCAATTTATAGTCCCCTTTTGAACCTTTAAGATACCACCGGAAAGGCAGGGTGGACTACAGAAGTTGCTTTCCATGACTCTGGAAGCCATGACCATGGAGCTAGCATAACACACAACAGGGTGATGTCACAGAGGTAACACCAGAGTCTCTGGGCACAGCAGTGGTCCTTAGCCTCTGCTGACTGGAGTGACCTTAGGCAACCCCTGGAAACCTTTCCCCTGGAGGGGTTCTTGTCTGTTTAATTCAGTGGCTCAGACTAGTGGTCTCTAAGGGCTCTTCTGGAGTGGGATTCTGAGTCAGGGCAGGAGGTATTTTTTGAGAGAAGTGTTGTTCTCAGCCTTCGAGGCATATATCATGTATAGTCAAATGCTAGGTATGCCACATAGTCTTAGGAGGGAAAGCTCTCTTCGGGCTAGAGACCTTTCTTTTTAGAGACCGGACTGAGCCTTGTGGACAGGAGGAATTCTGAGAACAGAGTGAATAGGGTCCGAAAACACAGAGGGGATCCCTGTCACACAGGCTTCCAGGAGCTAGAGAGGAGAGGACCAGAAAGAAGGGCCTCACCTCAGGAAGGTGGCAGCCAGGAATGAGGCCAGGAGTGTGACTGGGACCAGATATTGGGAGTTCCTGGAGATTATGAGGCAAAAACTAGATCATAGGAGGAAATAAAGAGATCTCACAGAAATAAATAGGGTCTCAGGTTTAAAGTGAAACTGAACTAGAGATTTAGTGAGGCCAGAAGGCTGAGAACCTTCAATGAGAAGAAGCAAGCTGCAATTAGGTGCTTTAATTGTAAGTCAACTGGCTGGGTCACATTTATATGATTTCTTTCAGTAGTCTTCATTGCCTGGGAGCATTACTAGAAGAGGCATATTGTGAAAGTGATACTTGAGGGGTGGGGATTGGTGTCAGTGATTATGGGAAAAGGAGACCCCTGCCAAAGAGGATGGCTCGAAGTAGCTGAGTGTAGGGTTCAGGGCGAGGGAAAGGCCTGGTCCCTAGGAGAGCTCCTGGCCTGGGCCAAGGAGGAGTGAGAGTGCTGTGGACTTGGGCTGAGTGAAGTTTGTAGGTGGAGTTCGAAGTGGTGGCATGTTTCCAGTAAGAGTCATGGGATAGAAGGCTAAAAGAAGCAGTGGGTTGGGGGGCTGAGCTTTAGGAGGAGATTTGAGAGAGCTGACCTAAGCTTTTCCAAGAGAAACAGACCTTTAACATAATCAGCTTGGTGCCATGAAGACAGTATTGGAGACGAGGAAGTGGGTGGACTCAATTCCTGAGAGCAAAGCAGGGCTGCAAAGGCTTCATTTCTGGGGAGTTAAGGTTGAACCCAGACACTGGGACTCAACAAGATATGCAAGGAAGTTTTGATCACTTCTTTGTGCATTCAGATTACTTTGCGAGAAGGAGGCAATGATGATGACAATGGTGATGGTGATTATTATGATAGTATGGCTGACATATCTCTTTGGAGAGACTAATTCAGGGGTAGAATGAGGGGAGTTGGAGGATTATTGTAACCTAATGTTAGAAAAAGAAAACTAGCTTAATTCATTTTGAGATTGGATGGAAATTTTGGTGCTGTTTTGATGGCGTTAGAGCAAGGGACCCAGAAATCCTGGTATCCTTCCCCTGAAGTCACCCTGAACTCTTCTGTGAGATTCAGAGGTAACTATATCTAAAAGAAGAGCAGAACAGAAGTTAAGACATCTGTGTAAAAAGCTATGTAGGTGATCAATATTCCAATGCAGAGCCTGGATGGAAATACTGAGTTCAGAGCATGTAAGATGGACCTAAGTAGGACCTTCTTCTCTTTTCCACTTGCTCTCCCCGAAATTCGAACAAACGAGCAAGCCAACAATAGAAAATACCAAAACAGAAGTGGCTGGGCCTCAGTGTCCCTACCCAATCCTATGAACTCAGAAAGAGAGTATGCAGCTGGCCAGTGTGCCTCAAAGAGCCAGGCCCTGCCTGGGACTTCTGTAGCATAGAGGACAGTGTGTGGAAAAGCTCTGGGGTCTCATACTTGAGGATCCACCCACTCCTGAGCCACTTACTTCCCTTCATCACGCCTATGGCAGTACCTGGTCAGGGTCCTGAGAGCAATTCCTGCCCTGGCCTGTCAAGAGGGAACAAGTGAATAACAGGGAAGTCTGCTTGGTGAAGGATTCAAAAAGAAAAGCTAAAACTTTTCTCAGATGAAAATGGCTAGTTAAGAGAGGAGTTCAGAGCAGGCACCGATAGATACATGCTGAAATACATGAACAACTGCATTAGCAAAATAAGCAAAAGGCAAATAACTTTATTTTAGAAGCCTTTGAGATACAAAATAAGACCATGGCAAAGTCTAAGGGTAACAGAAACCACACACGGGAGAAGAATCAGTTGCTATCTCTGATTCCAAGCAGTCTGTGTGAAAAGG